AGAAAGGTTACCTTCCTGTCTAGAATGTCACAACGTGGTTTTTCATGGCGGGAAAAAAATCATATGATTTCTGAAGCACACTTTCAATTTTCTTCTAAATATCTAAAAAGGCAGTGGGAATATTTTAAGTATTATGGGAATTCAGGCGGACTCTTCAAAGTTTTCCCATATACAGTGTGTTTTCAAGTGATATTTTCACGTTTTTCCAGTGTTTCTATTTATTAATTTCCTCAGCTTGTTAAGACATTACTGTATTTTTTTTAAATGTAAGTCTTTCATCAAGTCAGGGCTTAACCCCATCACTCGTAAAAGTGATTAACAAATAACTTCTCCCTAGAACATCATCACATTTTTTTCCATCAAACGGGTATCGAGAATATACAAATTCATCAACTGAACGATGCTATCTTGAATTAAGATTCCATTCCCAAAATTAAATTCCGGACCATAACTTAGATATATCAATTAAACACCAATTTTCCGGTAGTTTGCCAATATTGCAAATATATAAAATATAATTTGAAATTATTCTACATTTTTCAATAACTTTAAGTTATACAAAATATAACCTTTACAAAAATATTGTTATATAGAGCAGAACTATCGACAAAATCTTTGATTTAAGGTAATATTGTAGAAAAACAGAATCCCTGAATAAATGCTTAATGTACCAAGCGTCTAGAAAAATAGAAAGATGGAAGGCCTTAAATTACCTACAAATTTGTGATGTAACAAGTGAGAGTAGAGGATTCACTGATAGCTCACTGTAAACGAGCAGAGATTGAAGAAGATGTCACAACATATCATAACAAAGAAACTGAAAATATATCAGTAAGATTGTGGAACAGTAGTAATTTGTTTTGCATTTTTCGATGGAACCTTCATGCATTTAATTTCTGAATTCTCTCAAACAATTTGTTCGTGTGAAAGGGCGAGCGAAGTTTTTAGTTGTACTGCAAATACGCTTTCTGTGAGTCTTTTCAAGTCCGTTCAATTTGGACATTTGTAGCATACATTGCAGAACAGGAATTGAAAGAGTTCAATGAGATAAAGCCGCATTAAATACTCTTGTTTCTAGTTAGAGAGTCTCATTCATAGAGGAAAGACCAGCTGGAGCTTGGACCGCCTGTGGTTTAGGAGCAATTCTACTGCAAGGTCAAGGAACTGGTGAGCGCAAACTTATTGCGTACATCAGTCGATTACTTACATCGACAGAAACTTTAAGGAGAAATTCGTAGATTGAGCGCGAAGCGCCAGGTTGCATTTTGGCTATTGAACATTTGCACAATTACTTGTTTGACTTAGAGTTCACCTTGATAAACGACCACACGCCTCTTCCTACTATGCTCAATCCGCACTCGAATAAAAGTTTACCACTGCGTCAGCACTTAGCTTGGAGAATGCACCAGTATACTTTTCGTATTCAGCATATCGTAGGTAACGCGAACACAGCAGATTCATTATCACGTTTGCCGTCCGAGCAAAATGATTTTTCCGATACTGGTTTGGTTTGTAAAGACTACATAAGATTTGTTTTCACATCAAATATGTGAGACCCTCAAGCTGTCACCCTCTCTGACATGCGATCCGAGACATCACGCTCTCCCAATTACTTGTTCAAACTCAAAGTGGAAAATTGTTACTGACGGATGATCTCAAACTTTATGGTGCATAAAGAGACGAATTGTCTAATCTTGACGGAATTGTTCTCCGAGAAAACC